CGTGTCCACGGTTTTGTTTTCACATCCACGGCTCCATGGCTGCCTTCCACAGAACCTGGTCAAAAGTTGCCAGATGGCAACAGATGTTCTCTTTCTCGTCCAACCTCCACCACGTCGTTAGAGGATCCACATTGTTTTCCAACTTCGCTTTTCGTCGTTGTTCTATGTCCGAGTTTCCCTTTTTTTCTATTGATCAACAATATAGATTTACGATACACAATAGGCGGACCAAAAGTGGCACTGGTTTGTGTATTTATGCCTGCTGGATGACCTTAACCATCTGGTCTTCCGTCATTTTGGGTGGTAAATGTCGACTACGTTGACCTTTCAACGCCACATTTACCGCCTATGCTGTCCAACACAATCGTGGATATGCAACCATCTGCCATTTGTTCAAACACGCCGAAAGCCCGGTGGTCATTTTAAAATGGCCTCTTCTTCTCGTGGTATTTGTTTTTAACACTCATCGCTAGACCGGAAAAGTACGTGTGTACTTTTAAATCTCGCGATGGTCACTAAGGCTGGGACACTTACAGACTGGTTTGGATCGATGATATGCAAGTGTTTACTTTGAACACAATCATACAACTCCCTGACCAATGAGATGTCTCGGCGGTTGGAACCAATCAGCGTTCAAGCCCGAGGTCTGTCGATGGAGTACCTCTATTGATCAAGATTTTACACAAGAAATATCTGCCCCAGGCCTGTTTCTCGGTTTGGCGAATACTTAGACCATAAAATGCTAACCGTGCACTGCGTGAATCACCTGCTTTTGCCTTTTTCTTGCCAAAAAACATGCGCGATATCGTAGAACACGATTTCTTCGTTTACTACAACACATTGCGCTTATCTATTTTGCCCTTAGCTTGATTAATGTCTGTGACTACAAATGGGCTAGATACTTGCAAACACAGGCGAATCGACCAATGGCATTGGCCGTACACTGTGGTTGAACTCGAATTTCATTTGTCTCCAATTCTGCTTTGAATTAAGCAAAATAACCAAGCGACCTGACCGATCAATACCAATCCGGGATCTGTTACTACTTTTTGACATTAAGTAGTTATGATTTTTTGTCATATTTTCAGAAAGTTGCTGCTCTGTACTACCCGGTGCTGGCATTTTGCACCATGCTGTGGGCGGTCTTTTTTCAGGAGTCATGGAAACGCTCAAACAACCACTACACGCACCACTGGGGCACCTTGGATAAGCTGCCGAGTCTACTGGAGGAACCGAGACCACTGTTTAGGGTACGTTATCATGACAAGACCGCTTTCAAGGCAATAGGCACTGCATTATCCGCCGTATTCCCCTGAACTTACTCTTGCTCTCCTGAAATATCTAGGAATCCAAATTTTAGTCAAAAAAGCATGTATTTTTCGTCCAAAAATGTTAATGTACTGAATGATTGTTTTTGGACCAATCAGAATGTGACGTGATCTCAACGGCTACTTTTGATTGGTCCAGCGCGAATCAGCCAGTAATCAGCTTAGCTATTCCGGTGTTGTCCTAATATTTGCCACGTGTGTGTTTCTGTAATTGTTTTTGAAGGGCACCTTAGAGCCTTCGCCAATTACTGGCCGTTTGGAGCCGTTTTATCCACGTTGGAAACGAAACTTAATTGTGTGCTTCGTCACATTGCCCATTACCCTCCTCTGCTTGACTGTTGTGGTGGTTGTGGCTCTCGCACACATCAAGCTGCAAGAGTACGCCGAGAACAGGGTCGCAAAGTGCCGTTTTCGCGTTGCCGCTCTGGTTCCCTTCCTACCAATGGTTAGCTCGAGATTCCTAAAAAAATAATCTACTTTATTGTCGTCAGTAGGTCGTTTTTATTTTACGCTGGATTCTTAGATGCTTATTTTGGACTCTATCATCCCTTAGATTCTGTACGCTCTGAATATTTCGATTCTTAACGCGATCTACCGGAAAATCGCAGCCTACCTGACGGATTTGGAGAATCACCGTTTGAGCGAGTCTCACGAGTTTGCATTTGTGTCAAAGCTCATCCTAGTAAGCGGATGCCCTACTGAAGTGTTTATCAGTAGTAGAGTAGTTCATGGAACCACCGAATGACCTTGTCGATTCTCCTTTGTAGTTCCAATTCATCAACGCCTTCTACGCTCCCTTTTACATAGCTTTCTATCGAATGGACCTCGACCACCTGAGACACGTGCGTTGACGACTTTGCGCTCTTAAAAACGGCGCTGTTTTTGTTTGTTTGTTTTAACCAATCAGAATGCTGGATCCTTCTCTGTGCCTTGGCAGGTAACTTCGTTTGTCCGTAACCCTAGGTCCGTGGAATTCGTTGATGTCATGTTCCGTGTTGAAGCTTTGGCGACGCGGCAGCATGTTCACCTTGTCGCCTTACTCTTTTTGCAGCATCTCATGACAATTCTCGTGACGCGCCAGATCATGGGCAACTTGAAGGAGGTGTTCTTGCCACTGGGTCAGACGCGGATACGCCAGGTTTACCTTTCTCTGCGTGCTGACGGATTCGCTCTGCTAAAACGCGAGGACGACGCGACAGCGCCGCCTCCACAGGTGTTCACCACCTCGTCAGACGTCGACGATGGCGAAAACTCGCTTGAAGGGAGCTCCACGCGGATGCGTCGCAATGCAGGTGGGTGTTGGTTCTTCGTTGAGGCTTACAGAAGTGATCCAAGGTCGTCTGACACCAGTCTTTTGCCGGTTGTAGATGCCAAGGTACACCGCGACATCGGGTTCACAAGAGCTGAGCAAGAGGAAATTATGCCGAAGGTAACCGCTCTTGTTGAAATTGTTTCGTGCAAGCCGCTTGCTCCAGTGATCTGATTGGCCAGGCTTAATTTCCTGATGTACTCTCTGCAGTACGATGACGCGACTGACGATTACCTAGAGATGTTCATCCAGTTCGGTTTCGTCAGCATGTTCACCTGCGCCTTCCCGATTTGCGGTCTTCTGGCCTTTCTAAACAACCTCCTGGAGATTCGAAGCGATGCCTTCAAGCTCCTCACCAACTTCCAGCGTCCGTTTGCTGAAACCGCCACGGGAATCGGCGTTTGGGAGGTAGGTCCTGGGCCCTTGATTTCATTGGTTCGTCGCGACCTTGAGCGCACAAGCGCTGTGATTGGTCGGGCGTGTTCGAGTCGATTTTATCTGTTTCCATTTTTGCGGGCTTTCGAGATTGTCAGCCACGCGGTGATTTTCAATCAATATTGGATTGATTGGCGTGATTTTATTGGTTCGTCGCGACCTTGAGCGCACAAGCGCTGTGATTGGTCAGGCGTGTTTGAGTCGATTTTGTCTCTTCCCACTCTAGCGGGCTTTCGATATTGTCAGCTACGTGGCGATTTCCGTCAATATCGGATTAATTGGCGTATCGGGGAGCCTTCAAGACGTCTTTCCTGGTCTGACACCCTACCAACACGCCCTCCTTCTGATCTCAATCGAGGTGGGTGGTTTTATTGTCTCTGCTAACAGCCTTGAAGAGGCAATTTCTAGCAAATCTGCCGTCTCTGACTGTGTGCCTTATGATGTTGCTGCTGTTTTCTCGTTCCCCGTGTAGCACATTCTCTTCGTGCTTCGTTTCGGACTGTCCCACGTTGTACCGCCGGTTCCCCTGGCACTGGAGACGTCGATCGCCATCTTGGAGCACAAACGTCGTGAGGCGCTTCGGGTGAGTTTTGGCAGTTCGGGTAAGCCCCCAGCGCCTTCCAGGCGATCGATATCAACGTCTCTGCCCCCTTTTTTCAGACGGTTGAACGCGAAGGTCGGAAGGAGGCAAGGAAAGTGAGCGAGGGAAATGACAGCCAAGCCAGCTACGAGTATCCAGAGTACCAGAACTCCGACATTGACACACCGTGATCACCACACACCACTTTCTATTGCTTTGTTTTTTCTTCCTATGTTATCTTGTCTCTTTATTGAAGATGCTTTCGTTTTGTACTCATGACACACAGAAGGGACGGGCTTAGTTTGCGGCTCTTTTGTGAATGGGGATTTGCATAACTACAAGTGCGCGTTTCCTGATTCAAATATCGTGTCGACGTGGAGAGAATTTCTCCAAGATAACATGCCAGATATCGTTGAGTAAGGTGGAATTCGCCACCACCAACACCTGCACTTCCTGTAGCGGTGACACGTCGATCACCCCCAGAGCTTCCCTCTACTTTTAAATGCAGATACGATCACCCAGGGTCGACCTAGGGTGTTTACGCGGGCTGCACAGCTAGTGCTGTCTCCGCCTTGTTTTGTCTGCTTCTCAATGGCGGGTGAGAGGCCAACCAGATTGTTCGTGTGAACTGTGCTAATAGGGATACAGGAAGAAATTTAGCAAGTGTAGAAACACCCATGCACCCAGGCTCGCTTGAATTCGATCAAATCTTTAATTCGACTCGTATGACCGTGGCGTAAGTTTGAAATTCCCGTCAAAGTTACTTGGCAGAATGGGTTTAACTACAAGATGATTTGGTCAACGTTGAATTCACACACTGGAAACGTGTCAAAAATTCACGATGTTGGTAAAATCGCTTCGTTTGAGGTTCCGCCTTTCAAAGGTAGCAAGCACGGAAACGCCGCTATCTTTGTTCACATCGTTCGGCACACCTGGATTTGGCGCGTCTTTTTCGGTCGCACGTCATTGGCTGCTAACCAGGCTACGGTGAATGCTTTCGCTTCCCCATTCACCACAATTGCATTCAAAGACCGCCACACGATTGCTTGTCAGAAAAAAACTTGATGTTTGGCTAAATTAACCAGTTATTTCTCTCAATCTATCGACAACCTCTGCATTCCTGACATGACAACACAGCATTTGTCCAAAGTGTTGTAAGTTGATGCTGTTGTTGTTGTTGGTGTTGAGGGAATTTAATTACGTCGGTCAGGCAAACACCGTTTCAAGTCCGTCTAAAATGCAATTTCGCGCATGAGTGAGGTGTGGGTTAGAGTGGTAGAGTGTCGAGACGGTTTTAATTTCGCATCCTCGCCTGTCGTCCAACACAAAACCACTAAACCGTGTCGCCAGAATCAGCAAGCACACATTCACGCACGACTTTGAAACGTGGATTTGCTAGTTTTCCTCAGGCTGAAACTTTTGTTAGTGAATCACCACCTCGGACACGTCGCAGTTTGAATCTGCGTAGTTAGCGCCGATGCAGCCACCTCGTTTGACTGTCGCTAAGCCCTTCTTAGTCGACCTGTCTGACAAAAAGAGGTGATGGTGGGGTTGGTCTGGCCTGGAAAGGGACGTCCTTGATGGTCGACAAAGGAAGCCAGATCTGTGACTGCATTCGTGGCAAAAGCATGCGCGGTGGTGCGTGTTAGCCTGCCCAATCAGCGACACATGATTGGTGCGTTGTCGGGTTGTGTCAGTGATCCGTTCAGAGCCTCGGGAGGCTACGTATTCTACCTGCCACAACAGTGGATACGTGCAAGTGGGAGAGCCTTGTTGTCGTTGTTGATGGGTTGATGTCAGTTTCTTCAAAATTTTGCTGGCTCTAATCAAAGCAATCCCCACAGTTCCCTGGAACTATCGCTCACCGAAGCAGCGTCAAGTTGACTTGGAACGAAACGCCTTGGTCTGGTCTGCAAGACTGTTTTGATCGCTTACATGCGACGTGGATCATGTCCAAATGCATCCGCTATCTCTCAGTGGTGGCCATTTCTTGGGTTCTAGAAGTGGTCTCCCTTGTCGACCGCTTCAAATCATCGATAATGGACACGATACTTTGGTTCTCATTGACGGAAATATCAAAATCCTAGGCATTTTCCGTTTCAGCAGTTCTCTGAATACTGCGCTAGTTGAATTGTTTCTTTTTATTACAAACTACCTCATTAACTATCTATTTATAACCTAAGTCTATTGTTTATCTAAAGTTTACACTCGTCTTAAAGCCAACAATGCTTTGACTGACAGGTTGGAGGACAAAGACGGCCAATCAGGAGCCCCCCAAACTGTACACTTTTGGCTTAATTTGCCTATTTGCCATTGTCTGTTTCCATGACCACCATTTTACATTCAAATCGCCCGCCACCAGCCTATTGGCTCACGCTACACGTTGAATGCTTAGTCTGCACACCGCAATTGCGGTCAATTTTACGACTGCACGCGTTAACTCCGACGTCTGAATACGGTAGTGATAGCGTATGGTTTAAATGAAACAAAATTGTGATGGTTTAATCAGCGCTTTCTGGTTCAAATGACCTAGCGGTGTAACCAGTCGCTATGGTAATAGAAATTGTTGCCATAGCAACCGATAAACAACAAAGTAGACCCCTCACGTTTCAAGACTCGTTGCTACATTTCAAGTACACTCAAATGAAATGTTTTATTGAGTTAACCCAAAAGTTAGTGCCTGATTTGAATCTAAATTTATAAACAGCATATTTTCAAATGACATGTAATTTGTACCTGTAAATCAATAATTTAGGAGGTTTTGAAACAATTTCTTCATTGGTTACATTTTTGAATCAAACCGCACAAATGTGAAGAGACAAATTGATGGGAAAAACGTCCTACTGTTTAAAAAAAGGTTGTCATGGTTACAGTTGACGCGCTTCTGTTCACCCATTTTGGCTCGATTTTTAAATTGTTGCCACTTAGTCTCTCGGCAATCTTCTAATTGGCAATTCAAAAATTTGCTTTAAAGTATTTAATCGTGAAGTAAGTCAACATTAATCCCAGTATTTCGCAATACACCATCAAAATACCCTAGATGTTTGTTTGTCTTTGTTAGTCCAACGCCCACTCATTTTGAAAACTCAATTGGTTAAAATGTAACATTTTCCGACCGGTTTAAACAAACTTTTGTTTAAGCTTGGACTGGCTTACAAATCCAGTGAGATAAACGTCAGTTAACGACGTGATTGCGGAAGAAACATCATTCTGCATCTGTTCTTTATGAAACTCAAACCAGAAATCCCAAGTAAATGGAGTGGTGTGGTGTGTTCACACAAAACCAATTTTGCCGCCCCCGTACAAGCAGACCTTCCAAGTCGACAGATTTGGCGGAACTGTCAAACGCCAGTTCAAATAAAACACCTCAAATGGCCGCAACGAGACAAACAAACACCGGTTTTTATCGCCATTGGCAAATCCCCCAGTCAGTTTTGTTAGATACAAATCAGCGCTCGCTCATTTGCGTGCTTTGGATTAAGCGTATTTGTCCGCTAGTGCTGCTAAATAGAGTCGACGCGCAAATGTTTTTGCATTCTGGGGTGAAATTTAAGTGTTCTGCCGATGATTTATGAGAAGGAAGTTGGGAGTGAGGCGTTGTGATTTGGTTGCATTATCGAGTTTAGATGGTGGTAGTCATCTCAACCGCCAAGTCAGCCAACAGTGCCTGTGTGAGCGCGTGCGTAATTACCAACTGCTAACAGTAAACAATGAAAATGGGGATGAGTCATTGATATCAATGATCCTGTTGGCGCTCACGGTCACTGACATTCCACTACTGATTACTGCAATCAGCATATAGAGAGTTTGGACGTTAACGTTTACGCCGAAATGGAGTCTGTTCATTAAGAACACAGTAAGGGCGTTCTCTAGCCGATTGATACCAGAAACAGCACTGAATCCATGCCTTACAAATCACGTGACTTAGGGTCACACAAGGACTTTAAGTGAATCAGGCTTCTCCAGAAACGGGATATATTTCAAACATGCACCGTTCAAATATCCCAACTGGTCGTACAAATATCCTCAATGACAAAAAGAGGGAGAGAGGAAGCATCGAAACTTAGACGAACTTCGATTGGCCCTACCTACATTTAATTCCCTTTCAAGAGACAAAACATTGACCATGGATGTGCACAAGATGTCTCCAAACAAGACCACGGAAAAGCGATCAAGGTGTAATGATTAACACTGAAAGACCAATGAAAGGAGGAATCAGTTGTCACCGAAGTTAGCGATAATTGACCACTGTTGTAATGTATTAGAGGCAATATGGTAAGGTTGGAGGTAAGTGTGGTTCCTGAAAGGGTCTCATCCACCAGTCGAAGTTAATCGCCTAAAGAGCAGCTGGAGAGCATTCAATCAATCTAACCCCATAATTCACGAAAACATTTCAGGATAGATGTTTCAAAACGATTTCCTTCAAGTTACTGCAAAATTGAGTAGAACTGAAATCACTTTTCATGAAGGGACAATTTGTTCTAGAAGGTGTTTCCCATCCACAGACACGCATCGGATAACGGTTGGTAGAGACAGAGTTTTTAATCTTGATAAGAAACAAAGCTTCGTGTTAGTTATTTGTTTGTTTCATTCAGTAACACACAAGGCCAATGGTTGGGACAAGAAAGAACAATTGCAAAATAGTTGGCAGCCCAGTCTAACAAAGAACCACTCGCGTCCTTGCGTGCTGTGGAATGTCATCTTTCGAAATGTACAGGGCTCGTCTTTGTTCAGCCTAGGCAGGCTTCAGACACCTGCTGAAACGGACAGTGTCTACGATATTGATGTTTCCGTCAATGAAAACCAAAGTTTCGTGTCCATCGTCAATGAGTTGAGGGGGTTGACATGGGACACCACTTCTGGAACCCAAGAAACGGACACCAGTGAGCGAGATCGGATGCATTTGGACATGATCCACGTCGCAGGTGAGCAATCAAAACAATCTTGCAGACCAGACCAAGGCGTTTCGTTCCAAGTCAACTTGACGCTGCTTCGGTGAGCGATAGTTCCAGGGAACTGTGG